CCCGACGCGCCCAAGAACATTTACACACCCAAAAAGGACACGTCGAAGTTCCGCTTATCCCGGAGTTCCCAACTACCGAGCCCAATTCCCAGCGCGCTTGCTAAGGCGCGCGCAATTTCCCATGTATTTCCCGACTTTGCAAAAGAAAAAAATAGAACTCAGCAGTTGAAAAAGCTCTAAAAAAAAAAGAAAAATGCAGCACCCGAAAGCAAGAAATCAAAACGGGGTTTTTCCTGGGGTTGGTAGGATACAAGCCAAAGGAAGGGTCCGAAAGATAGCACGGGTTCGTGAAGTGGTTCGTCACATATGTGACGCGCAGGGGGTTCCAAAATTATGCGATCTCCTGATTGCATGCCACGGCGAAAAAGAAGAGGGGAGAACAGAGTGATGCATGAGGAACCAAACGTATCAACAGAGTAGAAGGAAGTACAAGGAACGATGACTTGAGTCGCGGATGAGATGGCGATAACATCCGTGGCAAGATCTCTGCAGCCCTGTCATATGCAATCCCATGCCTCGTGGAGATCGTCCAGGTGACGCCATCATGGTCCACCCGATCTCCGTGTGCTTTGCACCCCTGCTCGTTGCAGTCCGTCGAATCAGCGCGTAGGTTGACGTCATCGTCGATGGCGTGATCTTCGCGAAGCTTACTGATTCGGGCCGATGGGGGGGGGGGTCAAGTGGATCTACCACCGCCTAGTTGGAATGGGCTAGTAGAGGCGGTACATGCCGGGGATCTCGCGGGGATGACGGGGAGGGAGTGGGGGTAGGAAGTGGTTCATCCCTTCCATGGTCACCGGGAGCTCCTCGTATCGGATGATCCGGTGCAAGCGGGGGAAATGATCGCCACTGCGGGGGAGGGAAGCGAGGTAATCGCGATAGAAGGAGGAGAGGGTGCGGAAAAGCGCCGCTCGAAAGATCTCGAAGCGGCAACAGGCGGGGATTGTCCCGGTGGCAACGCAGTAGACCTCTACTACGTTGCTTCACTCCCATGCAACGCTGAACAGCAGGAGATGCCAGCAGAATGTGGGAGCAGCGGACCGAAGGGAGGCTTGGGGGTGGACGGTGGCGAGTAAACGGGTAGAGTAGAAGTTACGGAAGAGATGGGGATGGAAAGGGTGGGAAGGGAAGGTGACGGGGGTACGGATCTGTTCGAGGGTGAGGAAATCAAGGGGCCGGCGGGATAGCATCTGAGGACGAAGGCCTATCGCTCGCATCGGTACGTGGGCGAATTGGGGGACGGGTGGGGCTGGAGGAGGAGGGGGAACAACGCCGTCTCCGTCGCGCGGTACTTGAGTTGGCGGCTGCAGGGCCGCCATCTTCGGGCCTCGGCGGCTCGGGCTCCCTGGTCGGATCACTACCGATGCGCAGGCTGGCTTCGCTAGCGGACTCCAGCTGGCGCTTTCCGAAGGCAATCTCTTCGCGTTTTCGCACCGCTTCCGGATCTTCCGCCTCCGTTCCCGTACACGTCGCTTCCTCCGACGGGGCTTCCCTCTCGGACCCGGTTCCTTCTTCTTTCTCTTCCTCCTCACTCAGCTCGCCCTCGCTATGTTCACTATGGCTTCCCTCCTCCGATGTTTCCTCGTCGTTGTCTTTTTCTTCGTTGTCGTCGTCATCGATCACCACTTCTTCTGCCCTCGGGTAGAAGGCGTAAGGGATGATCTCATACGGCTTCAGATACTCCTGCCGCGATGGTAGCATATCCTTGTCCCTAGGTTCCTCCAAGCACAAAGTCCACTGAAGGTACGGGTCAAAGGATCGCTTGAAAATGTACGGAGCAGGACTGTCATCACTCTGAAAGTAGATGTCGGGCGAGAGATCGTCCGCCAATTGTACGATCGGTGCGATGAGCTCCTGTGCAATCAACTGTCGGCGACCCGGCTGTACCGATCCAAAGAGGAATCCAATAAGATCTCCTTCCGCGTTAGTCCTCCAACCCTGTATGATCAGCAGCTCCGGATTCTCGATCCACGTGGGGTGCTCGATAGTGCCCGTCCACTTTACTTGTACTCGGGCCTGACAGAAAGACAATTCCTCAAACGTTTTGCGCCACAGTCGCCAATGTCCGGGATGGATAAGAGGCACCGGAAGAGGCTCGAATGAGAAGGAGAGAGAAGGGTGAAGATCGGATTGACAGAAGGTGGGGAAGAAAGAGGGAAGACCAAAGATAGAAAGAGGAGCGAGAAGATTGGTGTGGGTCATTGAGGATGGGGGAAGGGGACGAGGGTTGGAATCACAACTGGCCGCTCGCGCGGTGCTCGGCGAATGCTGTCAAGGTCCGATGCAGAGATCGGAATGATGTTATGTCCTTCTCGAGCGAGGACGTGCTGCCACACGTTGGAGACTTGCTCCGTCCACTCGCGCCGCGAGGCCAAAATCGCGGTATGCCTCTGCGGGTTGACCGAGCTGATGTCACCGGTGAATCTCGCCGCTGTGGTGACGTGGCTCGTTCTGGGACCCGCTCGTCGATGAATTGCAGTAACCTCTGCGAACACTATCTCGTGAGGGCTTCCTTCTATCCGAAACGCAGCGGCGGCATAGATACCTTCGTCGCAGAAGAATCGCATCAAACGGCGGAGATTCGTATTGAGCCGAGGGTGACAAACTTGCCGAATTTCTGAGATATAGCCACGTGGCTGCCGCAGTTGTAAGTCAAGAACCCGCTCCGTGATAAAACTCATGGCGAGGTTGGAGAGAAGGACGAGGGACAAGAGGGAGAAAGAGGAGAGAGGGTTAGATCGTCGTTGTTTTCCTCCCTTTCCGAAGGAGAAGAGGGAGGAAGGTCGGAAGGAGGAAGGAGACGTAGGTAGGAGGTATGTCGGACGATGGGGACAGAGCTATGACTGGCGCTAGCCTCAGGCGCGACGCGCACCGTGTTGGCACCGTTGGGTCCGAGTTCGACAATGCGAAAACAGCCAGAGAACTTGGGAGCGAGTTTCCGGTCGCGTGCACATTTACGTACCTGCACTAGGTCCCCCAATTTATATTGGTACTGGGGCCCAGCATTCCCGTTCCGAGCCTCATAGCTGCGGACCTGTCGACCGTGGGCCAGTTCGGTCATCCTTTGCCTTTTCCGGGCTAGCTTCGGAACGGCCCGTTCCATTAAGTCGACGTACCTCTTGGCCTTAGCTTTGAGGGCCGCACGCGTGTCTCTACCCTTAACTTCGACAATTTCTGAGTTACCCCGGTAATCGACACAGGGGAGGCTATTTGTTCGAAGCTGAAAGGGGGTGAACCCCGTAGACTCGTGAGGGGTGGCCCGGTAGATCCCGACGATCTGATATACGATTTCGGGCCAAGGACGCGTGTCGTGTGCCGCTAAGTTCCTGCAAAGGGCGGTTTTAATCATACGGTTGGCATTCTCGACCAACCCGTTCGACTGGGACACGTGGGGTGCCGTATGTCGAAGCGTGATGCCCCTTCGCGCAAGTAGTTCTTCTACCTCACCTTTAAATTCAGATCCATTGTCGGTTAGAATTTCTTCCGTATCTAGATGGGTAAAGAGGAACCGTTCGATGTACGTGGCTATTTCTGCGGCCTTTCGAGTCTTAAAGGGATAGACTTTGATATACTTGGAAAAGTGGTCAATTAATACTAATAAAATACAATATTCACAATGGTTTGGGCCAGGTGGCACGTCAATATCGGTCGTGTCCATACTGACACGCTGGAAAGGACGCTCTACTTCCGTTGGTACGATCGTGTTCGGTCCCCGTATGGGGGCGTGATCAGCTGCACAGACCAGACAATTAGCGACAATGTATTTGACATCATCTCGTTTATTGGACCAGAACCATCGGTTCTGGTCTACAGTTGCCTCCGTGACTCGTATCGCGAAATGAGCCGACTGTTCCTCGTGAGCAGATCGGATCCAATCATATCTCTGAAATGGATGAGGAACCGTCAACCACGAACCCGATCCGTCAGTTTTACGCTTTTCGAAATGACCGTTGATCCATCGATAATCCCGAGATCTCTCGGTTGCCCTACGTCTGTCGTGTTTGGTGAGGTGACCCAATGATAACCCCGCTAATTTCGCCAATAAAATTTTATCTGTCCAGACCTCCGCTCGTCGGTATGTTTCGTCGTATTCAGGGCCGTCCGTAAGGGCGGCCTCGAATCGAACCTCTGTGGGGAGCTTGTTCATTCTACATAGGGGGCACTTCCATTCCTTGCTATTCGTTCGATATCGTACACAGGCCCCGTGCGAACGATTGACACACATGGCACATTCTACCCAATCGACAAACCCAGTTTCGAAGGGATGACAGTCGACCCCATAAACCCGTGCAATGCACGTGCAAAAGTAACAAAATTTATCGGGGACGGTGGCAAAGAAAGCTGAGGAAGTAAGCGGGGCAGAATTAGTAGGAGAAGAAGGGGTTGTGAAGGCAGGCGGAATAGTCATGATGACAGAGGGGAAGAGACGAGACTGAATTGTGGAGAGGCAAATTAGTCCCCGTGTCACTTACTGCTTTCACAAAATCTCCACTTGGCCGTACCGAGGTCCAATCTTCTGCTCGCGTTCGTTCCACGGGTTCACCTCCTCACTTTTCAGAACTTTCTCAGGCCTGTGTAACCGTGTCAATCCGTCCGCGTTCCCGTGTCTCTCGTGCTTCCGATGACGGATGTCAAAGTCCATGCTCTGCAGCACCGTTGCCCATCGCCCAATCATGCCCGGGTAATCCTTCGATTTCTTCAGAGCCAACAGGGGCTCATGATCAGTCACTAGGGTGAACTTTTGCCCATACAGAATGGTAGATAATTAGTTGTGGCTTGACAGATGTTAAGAAGCAGGAATTAACAAAGAATAACCACACACACGAGCCAGGCAGTACCCTGGTAGGAGGCTGACTTAAATAATATAAAGGACAGGAACATACATCTACATGAATGGCAGAGCTCAGAAACACAGTAGAACTGTCCACAAACCACCTAGCAGCATAGCAGAAAGACTCAGCGACTTTTTTTTTTTTTTTTTTTTTTAACAAAACTCAGTAGAACCTAATAGGTTGGGCGATACGAGCATCCCAACCTACTAGAGTCCAATCAGGTCACTCCATCTATTGGTGGGAAGTTGCACCTGCTGGAAACCGGATCCAGCATGACTGATTCCCCAGAGAGCCGCATAGCATTCTCCCGTCCGAGCGGCGTAGTTGCGCTTGCAGGCGGGTACTGATTTGGACGCATACTCCACCACACTCTCGAGTCTGCTTGGTCCCACCTGGGCAAGGATCGCCTAAATCGCCCCTGGCTGCCAGTCAGTGATGAGAACAAAAGGCTTTTCAGGATCCGGTCTTATAAGGACCAGAGCCGAAATGAGCGCAACCTTAAGCTTGGAAAACGCTCGATCGCACTCGGGCGTCCAGATCAACGGTTGATCCTTGCGCAGGAGATTTGTGAGGGGTCCCGCTATTGTCGCGAAGCCCTTGACGAATCTTCGGTAATATGATGCTAGGCCCAGAAATGCGCGAATTTGCGTGATAGTGGTTGGCACTGGCGCGTCCCGGACAACTGCCACCTTCTGCGGCTCCGGTTGAAGGCCCTTGTCTGTCACCATGTGCCCTAGGAAAGAAATGGTGGTGAGGAAAAACAGACACTTCTCAAGCACCACCTTGAAACCTACATCTTGTAACGCATGCATTGCCCATTCGATGTGGTGCACGTGTCCCTCATAAGAACTCGAATACACTAGGATGTCATCCATTTACACAATCACGCAGTAGTTGATGATGCTCTATGCCAAACGAGTCTTCCGTACGAAAATTATGAAAAACCATGTTCATGGCCCGCTGAAAAGTTGCAGGAGCATTGCAGATACCCATCAGACATCGAATCCATTGCCACGTGCCTTCGAAAAGCACAAACGCTGTTTTCGGTCGATCTTCCTCTCGGACAAGAAGATGATGGAACCCATGACGAACATCAAACTTGCTGAAAAATCGAGCACTCCCAATCGCATCCAATAACTCATCAATCCGGGGGAGGGGATACACATCTTTAATTGTGATATCATTCAACTTTCGATAATCAATGCAAATGCAAATCCCCCCAACCTTCTTAGGTACGATCACTACAGGGAAGGACCATGGTCCTATAGCGGGTTCGATCCATCCATTAGCTTCGAACTCCTTAATTCGCTGAAAAGCAACCGCTCGTTGAGCTGGCGAGTATCGATAGGGAGTGCAGCTAATGGGCAGATGATCTCCCATGAGAATGGCATGTTCAATTACATTAGTTAACCCGATGTTATTGTCATGCACGCTCAACACTTCTACGTAACCATTCAATACACAGATTAACGACTTCCGAAATTCCGAGGGAACGTGACTCGGGAGGGGGATCGTCGATTCCCCGGACATATTAAGGGGCATATCGATCCAGTCAACCGGCCGTTTCCGCCGCTCATGGACACTAGAGAAAACGGAACCACTGTTGCGAACAGAAAAGACGGTTGCTATCATGTGAGACTCAGCGGGGTTGATCATCTCCGTTTCTTTAGTTTCAGCGCCAGTCTCTGAACCAACCGAAGTCGGTTTCACAGTTAGTCTTGTTAGATCCATCATTTCTTGCATTAGATTCGACACATTACTTACCAGTGCTTCCGCTTCTTGTTTAATCAAGGTGATGGTGGCTCCTGTCGTTAGTAATGATCGGGGTGGGAAAACAGAAATGTCCAAATACTGTTTCGTTTGCTGATAACGCGTTCGTAAGGAAAGGGCTCCCTCGTACAAGGTGCGAGGGCGTTCCAAATCATCACCCAGATCGGAAACTTGAATTATGGGTTCCTGAGGAGGACAAAAGGACTGACCTGGGTTGTTAGAGGCGTGAATGTACTGTCTTCGGAATCCACGTGTGGAAGCTTCGAGCGATGTTGGGGCACACTCGAAATTTTTCGGGGGTTTCATGTTCGAAAAGTTCGACCAGATGCTTTCATTCCTCTTTACTGGGCATCTCTTCTTCGTATTCTCGTTCCCTGATTCCATCCCCGAGGTGCGAGGGGGAGCATTCCTCGGGATCAATGTATCGGATCATCCCTATTTGGAGCGAGTTAGGAACCCGCTTTGTCGTTCGGGTGAAAACCCGCAAGGGAACAGTCAGAGGCTTTCCCCCAGTCTGTGTGAGCACCAATTGTTTCGAATCGAAATGCAGACGTGCGCCCACTGCCATTGCCCAAGGCAATCCCAACAATACAGAGTAGGAACGTACATCTATTACAAGTGCGTTAACAAGGACGTGTACTCGTCCCACTTTTACAGCTACGTTCTCGATAACGCCTACGATGTTCATTACTTCCTCGTCGGCAGAGACATAGTTGTCCTTGCCTGATTGAGGAAGAGTGGATCCAATTCGTCCCGTCCTTTTAACAGTCTCCAATGATATGGCCACTACAGAAGACCCTGTGTCGATTAGGGCATTAAACGGCTTACCCCAAACTTCACAGTCACATTCCGCGCTTTTCCATTGTACCGGTCGAGCTTGTACGAAGTGATCCTTTTCTGCTAAAGAGATCGCTGCTATACGTGCGGCTTCGGGTTCAGGTTCTTTTGTGTCGCGCTCGAGGGGTGCAACCTCCTCACCTTCTTCCTTTTTCTTCAACATCTGCTGTACACGCTGATAGGTGAAGCGCTTTTGATTTTTCTGACAATGTTGTAACAATTTATCGTTCGCTGTTTCAGATATGGTAAGCAGATGTCCCACTGGGATGGGCACGCGAATGTTTAGTTGCTTGAGCGTTGTCAGTACATCAATATCCCCTGTCCGAAACTGTGGTCCAGGATTGGATTCACGATCGACCCATTCGAGATCATCTTGGGCCGATCGGATTGCTCCGATCATTCCGGCACGATGGAAATACTCGAGGGGATCGACCACGTCAGCAGCGTCAGAGGAAGAGGCCCCTGATGTCGACGCCATTGTCGTCGAAGGGGAAGGTTGTTCTGGAGCGTATGCTACGGCCTCTCCTCCTTGGTCCGTGTCCATCAGAGCGGCCACTCGTCCTTGATTAAGGGCGACTGGGGCCGCAGCAGGGGGGGGGGGGTGATTACGTTTTGGCTGCGGACAGTCGCGGGCGAAATGCCCGGGCTGTTTGCAGCTGAAACACTCGATTTTTCCTGCCGGATTAGCTAGAAGGGGAAACTGAGAGGCG